ATTACAATACCCTGACACTTATAATGTGATAAATGCACAGCAGTGCAGATATACTGTCAGAGAATTAATTGTTCACACGTAAAACTGCCCAATAAAAAATAGCTATTTATAAACCTGAAAATCTGAACACAGAGCAGATAGCTAATCAGAATGCTCAGCACAATTCTCCACCCATTTCCCTCTAACTAGCAGACCCTATTCATCAACAGGCTGAGACTCTTCCAGACCCTTACTGGATTAGGAAATTAAACTGAAGCTTGGATAAAAGTCTTAAGGATTGTAGCGACAGCTGACCACAAATGAGACCTGTAAACCCCAACAACTTATTTTGGAATTAAAAAAATAATCAAACCTCATAATTCTTTTATGGGAAGGAATTTCCAAATCTATCTATCTATCTATCTATCTATTTCTGAAGAAAGTACATGTTATACTTCCACCTGCTGGCCACCTGCCTGGAAGATCACATGGATCTCATTCTACTCGGTGGAGTGAGAAACTCTTCCAGGAGCGAGAAACTGCCAGGCAAGGCATCACAAACCTGACAGTTCAATTTCCTATTGAAGTAGAAACTATTCTAAGACAGATTTTCTATTTTGTGAAAATTGCACTTCTTTTTAACAGAGGTTTCCAAAGAAAATCTCCCCACCATTTCTAACTATAATCTTACCATATGCCTGAGCAATGAGTGAGAGGAAGCTTTACAGTCCTGGGAACAAATCAGGGACTGGAATGCAGCTTGCAGAGATTTCCAGCTCCCTTACTTTCTGAATGATGATCCACTGAGAAAGCAAGCTAAGAAATCCCTTTACCTGGCACAACTTGTCTTTCCCAATGAGTGAGAAATCTTTAAAAGAAGAAATATAACTGGTGTGAAGGTGTTCCTCTGACTCCTCAGTGCACATACACAGCAAGAACGGTGGTTAAACTACCAACAGCCCTACAGAAGTCTCTTTTTCTCCATCTCTAAAATTTATTAACTTTTGGCTTCCTTAAAACAGATTTTCTTTAAGCTGCCACAATCTGTACCTGATGAAATGCTCTTACTCTTTCTGGAAGTCTGTAGCATTGTGTATTTCCCCTAGCTATGACCAACATGGTAGACAAGATGCAACTTGCTCCACTCAAGCTGTTTTTCCTTCCAATACACTGCTCAAAAAGAACCTTGATGCTTTCATGACCTTATCTGAATGATCCACATATTCTTGTTTTCATTTTAAGAGTGCAGTACTTCCTGCTTTTAAAAATCCACTGATTTTATGACCAACGTGTGGGAAAATCTTAAGATATCCAGGCAATGAAGTGACAGGAGTCATGCAAGTTTAGGCAGATGGTAAACATCCCTGAGCACATGACAGGAGGTACATTCCCATATTGGGATGGGATGGCATGAGACTCTACTCCCCTGTTTCCGGATACTTGCTTAAAATTAATGATTTAAGGTTGATGTTGACTTCAAAAAAAGGTAATTATGAGTGAACGATGTGAAGTGACAGGCACCCAAGCCACCTCAAGAACGACCAAAGACTGCAGGAGCAAATAATATTCTTGCAATACTTTTAGCCACTAACCAAATGTAGGTTCCTGCTTTTCCAGTTAAGATTTCCGCACTGAAGTAAGAGCCTGAAGACATGAAAAAAGTTATATGAAAAAGCAGGGCTAATTTTGTAACACAGTAAGCTAGAAAGGCATACTACAGCACTTAGAGAAGTACGTTGTTCGATGTTGTACTTTTTGATGTCTTTCCTTACTTTTTTAAACTATTGCTATTGGATTTCAAGTTTTGATTCAAGTTAGTCCTGTAAATTTGTGGCATTCTTCTCCCTGTATAAGAATTTTCATGTTTATAAGGGCTCTTTCAAAAGTCTTCACCAAGAAACACCTGGATCAGCAGTGATGGCTTTGACCATCATAAGGTTAATCTCTCAACACAATGTAAAAACCAATTTCTTCCTGTAACTACCTCTACTCCCATTTTAGGAACCTTACCTTTGGGTAAAACTAACAGCAGCATTCTGAAGAAAAGGAAGCATTAAGGCTTACCTAAGAAGTGTCTCAAGAAGCCCCAACCCCACACTATACACCCAGGAAAACACATAAGGCAGGTCACATTACCACAAGCACTGTACTAATCTAGATGAAAAGCTATCTCCACATTTATGAACATAAAAGAAAGGATGGCAAAGAAATATGGACTGTGGATGGGCTACAGCATGTGTGCACAGCAACTGGAGGTGATGGAAGGCCATGTAGTATCAAGAGTGCTGGAGCTTTTGCACTACACTACAGACTGCCAGCCTTCTCTCTGGAGAGGGAATGAAGGGCTATCAGGTTTGAGTACAGGAAGAATAGTAGGACAGGGCTGTGGGAATCTAGGAGAAAAATGTAAACATGGAAAAGAGAAAGGAGAGAGAGTGAAGGAATCATGGGAAAGGTAGCAATGTAGTGACTCAGGGTGAAACACTGGCAATACAGCCAGCGATTTGGGGGAGGGGATGATAGAAATACCCCAGAAGGAAGTGAGCGAGGTCATCTAAATCTCCCCTTCTCACCCTCCTGCTGCTCACAATGTAAAAGCTAATAAAACCATTTAGATAAATGCAGCTGAGTTTGGTAAAGCGCAGGTCCTCATTTTCTTCCCTTTCCTTGCTGTCTCCTCCCCCATTCCACCATAGTTCATGCTTGAATGCAACACCCTTAAAATCAACAGGGCCTCAGTTTATGTGAGTGTTGTCCTCCTCATCCTACATTTTTCACTCCTTCCGACAGGATTACTTGGCAAATCTCTCTCCAGCTACCTGCAGATGTGAATTCATCAATGGCTTTTCAAGAAGCAGTAACTTTGCTTACAAATGGCCTGCTATTTTCTGGACACTGTGATGCAGGTTATGTCAAATAATTCTCTGAGGCATTTGTTCTTTCATGACACAGACCAGCTAGCTCTTACTGTATGTAAGAGTTCACGCATTAGCAAACTGGCAATCACATTTCTCTACTGAATCTCATTTACTACCACTTGGGTTTTCTCTTTGAGTGCACCATCTCTAATTTATTATACAAATTGGCTAGGATAGGGGATATCTGCTAGGATACAAGAAAAATAACATTTGGGAATGGTATAAAACATCCTTTCAATGAGCCACATGTCAAATCTCAACACACACTTCTTATGTAGCTTTGCTACATGAACTTAGATGCTTGTATTCCTTGTGTTTGTGTCTTGGTTAAGCTAGAAAACTTCTCGCCCAAATTAGATGGATGAAGAACAAGGTCAAATTTTTGCAGCAGACTGCCAGCAGAATTTCGAAGCTGTCAACAAGATCCAAAGACACAAACACAAGGTAAGTCTTTGTGTTTAGACATGGCTTATTCCTTTCAGGCAGTCATCTGCCTCCTGAGGCTAAGTGATGGGCAATGTTTTTCAGGTCACTTGAGTAACTATCTATCAGGCTATTTTGTTGGAGTAATTCTGGTTGTCACCATGCACTTTGATAGCTCAGGTCTCTGAACTGCTGCGGGAAATCTCCCAGGTCTCCACCTTTGTGCATTCCCAATTACTAGTAAGTCCTTAGAAGTGAAAGACTATCTTGGCTTTTGCAACAGGCTGAAGCTTGAAGGAGGTGAAGACCTATCTGAAGCCTTTCTTCTGGGCTCTAAAGTACTGCGGCTTTTTACAATTACGTTCTTCTTAAACTGTTTTTGTTACTGAAGTGACCATCAGCTGCTAAACATCACTGTCATCTACCAGGCAGATCATTTCCATTACCCAGAAGTTACTGTGACTTCAATAACATACATTAAGGAGGACCTTGCAAGTCGTCAGTCATTCTATTTCCTTCTACAGAAGCATTTTAGGTGAAAGTTACTAACAGCTGAAAGACTAAACAACTAAAGACTTCCTCTGATTCACCACAAAAGAAAACAACCAACCCTTCTAAAGGCAGCTGGGTCCGACTTGTACAGATTGCTCCGCAGTTCAGATTCAACAGACCCCCCAGTGACACATTGCAAAAGCAGAGATGTTTTCAGCTGATTTCACTTGACTATCAGAACTTGGGCTCACACCAAACTTCAGGACAAAGACACTATATTTTTATAACTTATTTTCTGATGACTTCCACTCCACCCAGTGAAGGCTGCAGTGGTTTTATCAGTGGGTGCTCGCAAAATCCTACCAAGGGAAGGCATGCAGTTCAACCACCTCAAACTCAAGAGTTCACGCCTTGGAAGGGAGTAATTATCTGCACAGCTAACACATAAAAGGAAATAAGGCAATTGCAAACCACCCTCACAACCATTTCCTGCACAAACTTCAGGTTGCTTCCTGTAGTAGAGATGGCACAAGCCACAACAAAGCACTTCTGACTGCCCTACTTACTTTTATCAACTTTTTCTGAACTTTAGAATCCTCTGATGTTACACACATGCCCTCTTCCCACCAAACATATTATACTTTAATTATATCACTTCTATTTAACAGCTCCAATGTACTTTCTTCAAGTAGTAACTACTATTTAATGCTTGTCTTCAAGCACACTCAGAAATGGCTGTTCTAAGTCAGAACATGCGATTTTTAAATTCAGGTACATGTTCGAGCCAAGCAGACTTCATAGTGGCAAAGGCTAGAGACCTCATACTGTCCTAAAGTACAAAAGTTTATCATCACTGATGTACACCATAAATGCTCACCATGTCAGAATGCTTGAATATTTCCTAGAATTATTCTGCCTCCCTATTTGAAAGTATTTAATTTTTAGCAGACCTATACAAATAACAGTGAGTAGCTAACAAAGAATAAAGTTTAACAGAATCAACTTCCAGACTACTAATGAAAATTAGCCTATCAGCAGAATTGATTTGTAATCTGCATACCAATCAATAACACAGAACATTATTACAATGCTTGCCTCCCACTTACCTAAAAGATTTCTGAATTGAAGCCTGCAATAAGCCTGCATTATTGATTTGCTGTAAGAAAATGAAATATTAGAGATACTCACTCTTACCAAAATAATTCTTGCTAGCTCTTCACGCATGGGCTTTTCTTCATCCTTCTTCAAACCTTCTAGTTCAAACAAGGTATTGTAATTTTCCAGCATTTTTGTCATTATCTTGTTGCAGATCTCCTGTTCTTTTATACCTTCAAATCCAGAGGGCACGCTAAAATTGGACAGAACACAAAGCAGAGCGTTACAGTTACTCAACATACAAAAGTTCCTGCACAGAGTCTCTGTAACATTTCAACTGTGGATACAGGCTGGCTAACAGGCACAGGAAACTTTGTCTGGAAAGAAGGATTGTGTCTATGGTGTTAACAACTACCATGGTTTGTTTGCAGTTTTTCTTACTGATATTAAATACCATATGTGTTGGTCAAACTATCTACTCCGCAGAATCTAGGTAGAGATCTAATTGAGACAACCACCAAATGAGATACCAACAAATTTGCTAAAAGTTGGGTTCATGACTGCAACAGAGACAGCATGAGGCATTTAAATGCTCTGAACTGTTAATGGGAAGAGACAGATTCCTAAAAAAAGTGGCTTGTGATAACCTCAAAAGTATACAAGGAGGATCAGTAAAAAATTAAGGAAACCCACATGCTGAGCAGAACACTAAAAGCAAAAGTTAAGCAAGTTCTTCACAGCTTCAGGTGACCCCATGCTGTACATCAGACTTCTTAATGTAATTTTTGAGTTGCCGTTTCTCTTGAAGGTAGGCTGATAACTTGCAGGGCTTTTTAAAACATGGAGGTGGAAGCTGCCTTCTGCAGAACAGCCTGAAAGACTCATATAAAAAGACGTTTCTCCACTTTCTGGGAGAATATTTCTCCAAAACAGGGTACCACTAAAATAAGCCTGGCAGCCCTATGAACTTCATTTCTAGGAAACGGACTGGAAATGTACTAGAGCAAGTTCAAGTCAAAATAAAGATTCCAGATAGCTTCAGTGAGTTGTAGAGCAGAACCCTGACCTAAACCACATCTGCTGGGAACTACAGCCAACACCTCCCTACTGGCAACAGCTAACACCAAATAACTCTTCCTGGCTGAAAAACAGTCCAGCCTATAAAGTTTCCAGAAAGCACACAACCAGTATTTAATTTCTGCACAATTCCATGCCTTTCTTGCCCTCCCTTCTCCACATTACTATGTCAGTTAAACTTTATTAAATAAAATCTGTGAAAAGTTCAACATCTTATCCTGAACAATTCTGTACATGTATGGCGAGATGCATATGCAGAACCCAAGGCTGAAGCTCACACCTTTAGTCTTTTATCACCCCTCTCTGAATGTAACCAAGCAGAGCAGCATGAATTGTTTTATTTTAATGGTAGTGTAACATACTTTATCCATTGCCATCTCTCTGCCACTAAAACAGGCATATTTTACAGTTTCTCATTTATTTTTTCCTTTAATTGCTGTTATTAGACCTCCATCATGGCAAAGACTATTATACTCTTTGAGCTATCCATGGTGACCTTTTCCTTGCAATAAATCTTCAGCTCAGCACATATAAGAAGTTTAGATTACGAGCACGCACCACCCTACATATTTATACAAGTTAAAACCCATCTGTTGCTACACTACATGATCCACCAGTCTACTAGACTTTTCTGAAAATGTGTGCAAAAAAAGAATATCTTACTGTAGCTTTTCTTAGTCTGAAAAGTTGTAATATCTACAAATTTCACTTCAACTCACTAGAAAAACCCAGTCTTATGAGAAAGTATTCCTCACACTACCACATGATGCACACCGTACTCCTTGGAAATTTTTCATACTCTTTTGTGAATACCTTATTAAAACATTTCAGCAAAACAGTGTTCATAGTCACGGTTCCTTTATGTCTAATTTCCATGTTAACTAGGCATTATAACTGTGTTGTTTGTAGAATCAGATGTACATCTTACTCTGGTTACAAAATCCTCAATGGCAGGACTGTATCCCTTTATAGACATGTATGTACAAACTACTTTAGTAGCAGCACCAGAAACAGCAGCAGAACATCGGTTTCATTACCAGAAATACATTTTCTAGAACGGAGGCATAAACCTGTAATTTTTGTGGTCATTTCTAGAAGAGAAAATGTTGATGGGTTCAGGTCTATCTTAGAGATCTGAGCTGGAAAACTCCCATTGAATTCTTGCAGTAGCTTGCAAAATCATGAACAGATACATAGTATAGGCAGTGACAGAAGCTAATTCTCTAGTGTGCCCCCTTAGATTCCTCAGACACCCTGCCCTTCCCACAGAGATGCTCAGAGTGATCTGTGCGAAAAGCACAGTGGTTCCACATTAAGCGTCTGGAAAAAATGTGCCTTGTTTAAATGAGGCATCCGCATTAACAGCATCTGACTCAGTCAAGCAGGGCCAAGGGCAAAGGGGCATTAGTACCACAAGTTTTACAGGATATTAAAGATCGAAATTACTGGCGAAGCCACTTTAAAGCAGAAAAAGCAGTAGTTCTCAAAGTTAAAACTTTACTTGGGAATAAGATCAAGTCGTTACCCCTTCATTTCAAAATATGACACCCAGCAGTATTTCACACTTCTGCACAATGTCCTGCCAGCATGCCTGGCCCACCCACCACAGCTCCATGCCACTCATGTCCATGCAGTCCAGTGCTCACTTGTTCTTTGGGTTCTTCCAGACTACTTTAAGCTAAGAGCGTGTCTGCTTTCATGGGGATGCTCAAGAAAGCTAGTCTCAAATGAGTTAAACCACATCAAAGCGCTCGGTCACAACTCTTACTCAGAACTGAAGTGACCTGAGGTCAGATTAATGCACTGTGAAAGAATTACTTACATTTCATGAGTTATTTAAATGAATATGCCACAGGGTCCCTGTAAACAAGCTGTAACAGGCTAAACGCAGAGTGGGCTCATGACAGAGCAAATCGCCAGACTCTGCTGAGTTGTGCAGTAACACATCCAAACACGAAGGCATCTGGCACAAGACAGGCATCACTACAAGGCTCTTGTCACCATCCATCACACCTGAGAAACTTGCTTCAAGTGGAAACGAGGGCCAGGAGCACTTGGGATGTAGTCATCTGCCTGTAATAAGCTGGACTGAGATCACTGAATTGATTTCCCCAGGCAGCAACTGCTGACAGCTCCCTCTCACAACTGAGAACCAGCGATTTCCATGTGAAACTCTGCATCTCATTACGAATTCCCAACAGTATTCACCCCACCCTGTCTGAGATGAAGAACGCACATTACCATTTCCTTAAGTGGATCTGCAGAAGTAGCTTGCATGGAATGACAGCACTGTAATCCTAATTTGCAAACCACTGAGGGCTGTATGCTCTGTCTTCTCAGACTGCTACTTTCGCTGTTTGTACAACACCTTTTGCAGAGGAGCACCACAAAGCCCCCTTGCCATTCTCCTAAGGAATCCCAGAAGAAATAAAGGCATTCAGAGGACAAGGAACACTTTTCGTTTCTCTAGCCCTCACAAAGCATTTCCATTAGTACCTCAGGTGCCCATGAGCCCCTCAACAAGCATGACTGAAGGTTTTGAGAGCAGAGCTGCAGTAATCTTAAGAGGTTACAATTTCAGGCAGTCCACTGTTCCTCTACACAGACGTTACTGTGTCTATAGCAGATGCAACCTCATGGCCACAACTCAGCCCTGTACTTCAGCTGATCAAAGTGATTTGTCTTAACACACTGGACCACAAACTGCTACAGCTGAAAACAGGCGCATATTCACATCTGCAGATTCTGCTGCAAGATCAGAAGCCAACAGGTAGCTGAAGACACAACAACACTAAGTTGAGGTAGGTGTTAATCTCTGTGTGAGTCATTTACGTGCTCTGCATCATTTACAAACTTAAGTCTTACCAGTTTGGACCAAACACAAGGTCATGTCACTACTGAAATTTTATGGAAGTGCCTTAGCTTCTGAGACACTGGAGAATCTCATGAGTCATCTAACTACCTACCTTTTACGATCTCTTCTAGATTATTTTCTGTAACGTCAGATTTAGGAGTCTAAATCAGCTCAGTAATTCTATCTCTGTCTATATTACTTGCAGCAGATGCATAATGCAAAATGCAGGCAATGCAGGTAACGCAAAGCAGTCAGAGTGATGCAAAGACTTTACTGACTGGATTCATTTATATGCAAAATCTTTTGCTCCAGCAAAAGCTCAATTTTTCCTCAGGAAACTGCAGTGATAGTAGGCAGTTTTGGAAGTGCAACCTACACAAAGGTAGACAAAGGGCAGTCCATGGCCTAACATCCACTCAGAAAGTACATCACTCCTATCTACAAAAATTTCTGGACAGAGGCTCTTCAAAAATGCTCCTTGTGATTTTATCTGAGCTGTACAGTTGAGCTCAAACACCACTTTCTTTTGCACACATTAGGAAAAAGTTCTTCACTGAGAGGGTGGCCAAGCAGTGGAAGAAGCTCCCCAGGGGAGTGGTCATGGCCCCAAGCCTGTTAGTGCTCAAGAAGCATTCGGACAACATTCTTAGATATATGGTTTAACTTTTACGTTGCATTCTGCGGAGACAGGAGTTGGAGTCAATGATCCTCATGGGCCCCTTTGAACTCAGGATATTCTGTGATTGTAGTTTTTCCTGTGAAACTGCTCTTCCACTTAAATTCTGTGCGTACGCTTTATTACCAATCCTCAATCAAGATCAGAAGACGGAACATTTTCAACCCAGAGCAGTAACTTATTTTCATGGAGTATTTCAAGAAAGGTATATACTGAAAGGTTGATAATAATAATAATAAATATTAATAATACAACCCCAACCCCAAAAGCCAAACCCAAACCACTGAATATTTCGTATTGGAAGAATCACCATTTCATTCAAAAGATGTCATAGGAAATATCATAACACCTGGCACTGGCCAGATCATAAAAGAGAAACTTTCTCATCTGAAACTTTAAGGGGTGAGTGCTCACTAGGAGAACGAAGGACTTGAGATGGAATTTGGCTGGAACACTCCTCCACTTAGGAAGAGACCAATCTTTATCCATCATCAGTTTATTTTACATATAGGGCATTCAATGGACTCCAGATGACAAAGCTGAGTATACAAGAGAAAAACAGGAGAAGAAAACAAACGTATATCACTGAAAGGCTCGGCAATATAGCCCCCTATGCACTTCTCAAAAAGGAAGCAAGCACTCATGG